TGGTCATTTTTAAGTCTTTTGTCATTTACAGACAGTTCTGGGTGTACTCTGATGCTTTTGCAAATGTGTTCCTATAAAAGTGTTTCATCTTCAAGGAATTCATGGAAAAGACTTTGACAAGTACAGGTTTCTGGTAACTGACTATACTGCCGAACAGAATGAATAAGCATTTTCAGAACTCTAATGGAAAACTGATGAATTCATAAAAGTGCTAACAAAAGATCAAGATGAAAAAAATTAATTACATGGGACAGAGTGAACTGATGAGGATGATTATAGTTTTTGTGACTTTCTTTTGGAATAAAAAAAAAATCCCACAAGGACTCAGAGGCAAAAATATACAAATCAAGTTTCACTGCAAAGTAAAGGAGCTGTTACACTGGAGGATTACTGGACTGAATGTTAATATTATAACCTAGTATGAGTGTGTTTCGTGTTTGGTAATTGCAATCATTGTTGCTTTTATTGTGGTCATCCATTTACATGCTTGGTGTCAGTTTATCTCTTGTAAAAATAAAATGCAGTGAGTGTGTGTAAAAAAAAAAAAAGATTGAGAAACCCTGCTCTTTTTCTTTTAAGGCAGTTCCACTGAGATGGTAGTGGTGGGTTGCTAGGCAGCCCTGATTAAGCATCCCTTGGTGTTTCCACTTTGCCACCTACTAAGAGGTCATCCTATTTCATTCACCATCTCCCAGTCCCACTGTGACCCCAGGGACGTTAAGTGCTACAAAAATCCTTAATGAGGTAATGACAAGGGAGGTCCACTAAGGACTTTGGACCATCAAAAGAAAAGGACACCTTAAGCAGCAGGAAGAAAGTCTTGTTAACAATACATGTGTCAACAATACACCTTAAATACCTGTGGAATCCATCCACTTGCTATCCTGGCTCATCTGAAGGAGTGCAACAGTTTCCTAAATGGTCTCCCTGCATCTACGCTTGCCACCTGCAATCTGTTCTCCAAACAGCAGCCAGAATTTTGTTTTGAAAATGTAAGTCTGATCATATCACTCCTCTGCTTACAACCCTTCAGTGGTTCTCCATTATCCTTCCGATACAGTCACTGCTCCCCTTAGCATGACATCTAGCCCCTGCCTACTACTTCAGCCTCGTCTTGCCCCTTGCAATCTATGACCCTGCCATGATGACCAATTTCAGTTGTCTCCCAAGGAGATAATCTCTCTCTGTATCTCTCCTTTACCTCGATAACTTTTACTGCAACGTTCACTTCAGATACCGTATCCTCTGAGAAGTCTTCCCTAATCATCCTAGTTTGGGTTGGTTGCCCCTACTGTATGTGCTCAGGTTATCTACACCTTCTTAGCATCCATCAAATATATCTGGCTATTTCCTTCACTAGACTGTGAGCTCTTCAGTGGCAGGGACTGTTTCCATCGTGTTCACTGTGCCTAGCTGAGTGCCTGGCACATAGTAAGTATTTTTTGAATTAATGAATGGATGGATAGTTTGTATTTGTCTCTGCTGGCTTCTGTTTGTTCTCTTGGCCCTCCTTGTTACTACTTGCCCCAAGAGATGTGAGCCATTTAGATTACAAGATTTTGAAAGAATTGGGTCCCTCCTGCCCACTGCAACTTTAGGTCTAATCTGTCAGTGTCTGGTAGAAACTTCCATTTAACCCTTCCATTATGCACTGAGCCATCTGCAGTTGTATAGATCAAGAACCTGGCAAAGAGATAGCCATGGGTGCCTTTGAGAGCCCTAGCCCTCATAAAGGCAAAGAAGGAGTGGCTTCCAGGAGCACGGGGAATGGTCCAGCTGAGTTCCCTTCCCTTAAGGGAGCCTCTGCTGCTCTCATCCTGGACACTAGAGTTGTACTGGGGGTGGAATTGCTGTGGCTTTCAGAAGCCCCTTACCTGGCACTACCTTTTTCCTTGGGGCTCCCATAAAATCTAATGTTGCAGAAACTCAAGAGTGAGCGGAAGTTTCCTGACTTAGTCCCTTGCTCTGTGGGGCTGGCCAATGAAGCTATTTAGTTTGGGGTGCATGCCTACATATTTTGCTTCTTGGCCAATGAGGCCAAGAAACGGTCCCCAACATAGAGAACAGACTTGTGGTTGCCAAAGGGGAGGTGGAGTTGGGAAGGGAAGTACTGGGAGTTTGGGATTAGCAGATGTAAACTGGTATATATAGAATGGATAAAAAACAAGGTCGTACTGTATAGCACAGGGAACTACATTCAATATCCTGTGATAAACCATAATGGAAAAGAATATGAAAAAGACACATATTTCTCTATGTGTATAACTGAGTCACTTTGCTGTACAGCAGAGATTGACACAACATTGTAAATCAACTATACGTCAATAAAAATATATATACGTAAAAAGAAAAGGTCATCAAAATCTGATAAGGCATCGAATACTGCAACCCGCACCCCAAATCAAACCAAATCAAACAATCCTCCAACAAAGTCCACTTTTTCCATAAGAGAAAATGAAGTGATTCCTGGGAGCAGATGCATTGTGCTTGCTCACAGGAGGGGACTGGAGGAAGAAGTTCTCTCAGCAAGAATAAGGCATAAATTGCAGCATTTCCCGGAGTTAGAGGAGAATCTCCTTCTTGTGTGGCAGCGGCAATAAACAAGGGCAGGGTTCTTAGGTCTGAACTACTTTTCTGCCTCTGGCCTTCATACAAGGCCACTACTGCAGCCCCACCTGGCCCTGTAGCCCTCGCCGAATCCCAGTATGCCTCTCAGAGCCTCTTCAATATCCTTGTCCATTTAGGAAATACATTTACAGGCCTACCTCAGAGATATTGTGGGTTCGGTTCCAGATCACTGCAGTAAAGCAGATATTGCAATAAAGCGAATCACACAAATCTTTTGGTTTCCCAGTGCATATAAAAGTTATGTTTCCACTACACTGTAATCTCTAGTGAGTGTGTAATAGCATTATGTCTAAAAAAACAATGTGTATACGTTAATTAAAAAATACTTTTTGCTAAAAAAATGCTAAGCATCATCTGACAACGCAGAGTTGCCACAAACCTTCAAGTCATTAAAAAACGCAGTATCTGCTAAGTGCAATAAAGCGAAGTGCAATAAAAAGAAGTATGCTTGTATAGGAAGTGATCTCTGACAACTTCCCTTAGGACATTAGATCTTTTTTTTTTTTGCGGTACGCGGGCCTCTCACTACTGCGGCCTCTCCTGCCGCGGAGCACAGGCTCACGGACGCGCAGGCCCAGCGGCCATGGCCCACGGGTCCAGCCGCTCCACGGCATGCGGGATCCTCCTGGACCGGGGCACGAACCCGCATCCCCTGCAGCGGCAGGGGGGGGCCCCCCCCCCCCCCCCACAAGCCGCCGTTGAAGCAAGGCCCATCCGCACATGTCACCCCGCTCACCTCACACCGCAACCCGTAGAACCCACGGGGACAGGTGCATTCAAAGGACCCCAGGGTCTCCTGGGCACAGGCAAGAAGACTTTGGATCAGCATCTCCTTAGAAATCCCATCCCTCTCCTTAGTCTTTTTTTTTTTTGGCCACCCGGTGCGGCATGAGGGATCTTAGTTCCCTGACCAGGGATTGAACCCGTGCCTCCTGTGGTGAAAGGGCACGAACCCGCATCCCCTGCAGCGGCAGGCGGACCCCCAACCACTGCGCCACCAGGGAAGCCCAGGACATTAGATCTTAATCTGAGTTTTGTCACTATTTATCCCTAGAGGGCTTAGGACCACCTCAAAGGTTTCCTGGTGACTCAAAAATGATTGGAAACACCACCAGCTGCTTTAGGCCTAGGTCTACCACCCAGCTCTTTCCACCTAGACTCCTAATAATTATAACAATAGTTATCATTTATTGAGTGGTTATTATGTGCCAAACACTATTCTCTGTGTTAATACATTATCTTATTTATTACTTGCAATAACCCTATGGAAGAGGTAATATTTCCATGTTACAGGTGAGGAGACTGAGACATTAAGGTCTTTACCTAAGATCACCATTAGTAAATGACAAGGCGGGGACTTAAATCAAAATCTACCTGACTCTATTCTGTTACTCTTAACCACTATTACCCCCACCCCCACCTCCCCACTATATAGCAAATTTGTAAATTAACTCTGGGTGTCTGGATTACCCCTTGTTTAAGTCCCCAGTAAAAATCTTCTTAAAAATAAACACTGGGAGATGGGCGATCACAGGGCCTGGTTTCCATCAATACAGAGCAAGAGGGAATATATTCACTGGAAGATCTGCAAAAGCTGTGTTGTTTTGGTTTCCCATTATTTCTCCATTGCCTAGTACAGTGCCTGGTACATAGTGCGTGCTCAGTAAATATTTATTGAATGAATGAATGAGTTTGCTCCCTGATTTTCTCAGAGCCTTGCTGACTGTAAGGACTTTGAGGTGATGAACTCTAAATTCTGCACATGAAGACATGAGGCAGGGAGAACCTAGGCCCAGTTCCATCAGCACAGATCTCTCTGCATAATCAAAATATCACCAGGCCCTAGGAGATCAGAGTCTACTGACTTTCATTGCTATTTGCTACCTCAAAGTTTACTCACCCCAAAAGAAGGGACATTGTCTCTAGAGTTCTTTGTAATAGTATCCGATTTCCGACATAGCAAGAAACAGATGTCGGATTGTTTGATTGTTTCTTGTGAAGCATGACCTTGAGAAAGTCATTCTATCTCTCTGGGCTGTAATGCTCTCATCTGTACCGTGAGGGAGTGGGACTTTCTACTTGCTAAGGGTCTTTTAATCTTGGACATGCTAGTATTTCCTGATGAAAATCAAAGTAAGTCAGCACTGTCTCTACTCGTTCCCCAGCCAGACAGCTTCTGCAACCCCAGCCTCCACACTGTTGGCAATGTTATTAGTGGTATGTTCTGGGGGAAGAGAATGCAGGCCACCTGCTCTTGCTCGATGGCTCTTCTCTACCTTAAATCCAAGGAAAATAGTCAGCAGGAGGGAACAGGGGATGAGTGGGAAATGGGGAGCTCTATGGCAAGCAAGTTCCCTTTCATGTCTCTTCACCTTAGGCAAAGAGGCCCGGGAGCCAGAGCTCTGAGTTGTCATGGTGAGCACAGTGGTGATGCCTAGGCCCACCCGGGCAGGGGCAGCATCCATGTTGATCCAGAAGGAGACCCAGGACAGGATGACGATGAGTAGGCTGGGGATATACATCTGAATCAGATAGTAGCCCATCTGTCGTTCCAGGTGAAATTTTACCTCGATGCAGGTGAATTTCCCTGCAAGGAAAGAGGTGAGGTATCAGGCTCCAGGTCCCCAGCCTGCAGCTGAGCTGAAAGGCAGGACTAGGGCAGCTCTATTTCTGTGGGCCAGCCTCTGGGCACCTAACCTGTGCCAATAAATGAGCCTTTCGAAATGGCCCCAGGGAGCACCAGATTCAAGTTTTGAGGAAACTCTCAGAGAAGCCACTGGGGACTTGACCTCTTGCTCCCAGCACTTTAGTTGCCAGCAGAAGGCCTTCCCCGTGACAGCACTGCAAGAGGATTAAGGGTGGGAGGGCTCCAGAGCCAGACTGTATGGGTTTGAATCCTGAACCTTCCACTCACTAGCTGTGTGACCTCAGGCAAAACACCTAAGCTTTTAAAGCTTCAGTTTCCTTGCCTGTAAAATAGAGTAACAACAATATCAACTCCATCATTGGGCAGTTGTAGGAATTAAATGAGATAATGTATTTGAGGTGTTGAGCACAGTAGGTAGCTGGTACTATTATCATGATTAACAAAATGAGCTTAGACTCCACTCAAATCTCAGCAGCCTAGCTTGTGCGTGCTGGGACCCTTGAAGCTCTCTGGCAACGATTCACTGAGATAAACACCGCCTGTGTCTTAAGCAAGTAAGAGCAGGATAGCAAACATCTGGAAACAATGTCTAGCAGAGACCAGTTCTGGACAGCAGGCAGCGGGTTCCCAGAAAGCATCTGGCAGCAGCATTCTATTCCACCCACAAAAAGTGCATTGGCCCCAGGCACATGTGCCAATGCTTGCCTCCTCTGCCAGCCATCTTCATTTTACCCTGCTTTCCATCCCCAAGGCTAAGAAAACACTAGCTCAGAGCTTCTGGCAGCAGATGCTTAGGATAACCAAAGCAAAAAACAGAGGATGTGTATATTATTATTTTATTCTGGCCTAGGCTTGCTCTTAATAGGACTGTCTGATTCCTCAAGGTTAGTGATTTCATCAGTGACTGATTATGGCTTTGACATGCTGTGTGATGCTGTGATCTCCTACTCTTCCCTGAGTCCACCCACCCTGGGCTTCTTGCCATGACATGTTTTGGCTAGGTATCCATATTTTCTTTCCTTTCTTTCCTTCCTTCCTTCCTTTTTTTATTTTTATTTTTTGGTGATAGCAGTTTTGTTTTCAATGACAAAATTAACACTTGTTTAGCACAGAACGAAAGTGAGAAGTAGAGAAAGAATAATAATATTCATAAGCTTACATTTGTCAAGCCCCTACTAAGTGTCCTGACTTTATATAGTTTATCTCATTTAAATCCCATAGCAACTCTTTGGGGCAGGTCAAATTATTATTTCCCATTTTATAGACAGGGATACTGAGGCTCAAAAAGATTAAGTTATGTTGCTCAAGGGCACCCAACTAGTAAATGGTGCAGCCAGAATTCAAACTCAGCTCTATCTGACTCCAGAGTTCTTGCTCTTACCTGTTGTATCATACTGCTTTAGAAACGCTTAGTGCTATTTCCTCCCAGGGTTTTTAAACACATGCTTTTGGTTTGTTTCTTTCATCACAGTAGAATCATTCTGTGTATATAACTTTGAATCTTACCCTTTTCCACCTGAAGTTTCCCATGTTGATATAAGCACCTTGCAAGCATTCTTTTTAAACGTCTGGATAATATCCCACCAAGCAAATGCACTATGTAATTTACTTAACTTCCACCCTATTGGTGGATATTTAGAGCAGTTCCAAGTTTTTGCTAGTATAAACAGTGACCCAGGAACCCTCTTGGGGTCTAAAGTCAATATGATATTTTGGAATATTTCCTCATAATAAATTCCAGGCAGTGGAATTCCTGGATCAACAGGTAGGCAAACAAATTTAGCTTCCAGACTGAAGTTTCTTAGCGTGCCCCCTGGACCATCTGCATCAGAATCCTCAGGATGCTTGTTCAAACACAGATTTCTGGGCATCACTCCAAGCGCACGTAATCAGAATCTCTGAGAGGCAGAACCCAGGAATCAATATTTTAACAGGCTCCCCAGGGAAATATAATGCACACCAAAATTTAAAACCCCCCAGTCTATATACAAAATGCCAGTTTTTTTCCCTAAAAAAGGTTATACCAATTTCCACTCACGCCAGCATTTTCTAAATTCAGTGGCTCATTCGTCTCCCCAGCTACCTGCACCTCCACATTCACACACAAATTCATAGGGCTGCACCCAAAGCATATCAGCACACCATTGGAGTGTGATCTCCCCTCTTCAGTTTGTGGCCTCTATCTCAGTGTCATAGCTCTTCACAGCCAAATTGCCAGGGGAAATGAGGAGCTAGCAGGATTATGGAAGCTGCAGGGGGCAGATGCTCAGGCTGGAAAACCAGCTCCTCTCCATTTCCTGGCACGCTTTTCACACCTGGGAAACCAAGCCAATTCACGAGAGTTGAGCAGTGGGGACAGTGGTAGGAGGTGTGGACGGTAAGCCAGCTGGTGACCTGAATTCTCTTCTCTCCTGGTTCAGTGAACTCATTGACTACTCCCAGATGTAGATTCCCCACTTTCCACGTGAAGTTGGCCCCAGGACAGGTGGAACACTCCTGCCACTCACTGGCACAGGACCATTTGTTCTGCAGCGTGTGATAGGGACATAAACAAGGGCTTTGGCATTAGACAGATCTGGATTTGAATTATAAATCAGCCATTTACTAGCTGTGTGACTTGGCCAACTGATTCAACTTCTTAGAACCTCAGTTTTCTCTTTCTGAGAAATGGGGCTGATCACCTCTACCATAATGAGATAAGTCATATGAAGCACTTAGCGCCACATCTGGCACAGACTGGACCTTCAGTAGAGGCTAGCTGCCTTGCCCCTTTCCCTCCCATCTGGAGGCCCTCTTGTGGCCCACAGCCAGTAAAGATCTTGGGTTTTTACCTGTGTTGTAGCGCTTGGTACAATAGCCTAGATCCTTCTCATCCCGCAAGATAAACTGGGGCAGAGTCAACCCCTCAGCCACTTGGACAGCAGGAGAATCTTCCAGCCACTCAAACATGAGGTCATTCATGGTGTAGCCAACTGAAAGTGACAGAGATGGCAGAGGACTGCAGAGTGTGGTGGTTGGATGGGGCCAGGGAGAGGGTTAGAACTGGCAGGAAAGAACAAATGAGGAATAAGGCCTGGGTTTTAGGAGTTTCATGCTCATCTTGGAAAGGAAAACCATTTGGAAGAGGGTCAATTGCCTCATGGGCCCAGCCTAAGTGGGTAAATCAGAAAGATTCCTCTCCTACCTAGTTCTCAAGCTTTAGAAAGGCCCAAAGAAGAGAAATTATTCTGGCAGACCTAGAAAGCACATCAAAAGGCTTGGAAAGATGTCAAGGAAACCAGCTGGGAACCTCCTGCCCCATCTCAAACCCAGGGGAGTAAGCATGTGTACCGACCACATCTTGAGCTGAGCCAGCCTCAGAGCTGGGGCTTCTGCCACCTCACTCCAGGGAGGAAAGAGCTATTTATACCTTGCCAGTCATGCATGGGACAATGTGCATACCACAGACTCCCAGCCAGAGTCCTGACCTGGGGCAAATTGGGAGCTAACATTGAAAATGCCAAGTTGCTCACAGATAGCTAGCAGTTCGTGAAGGCTCTTGCCACGTAGATGACTATACTCACACGTCGGGTAGAAATGGGAGCAGAAACACCAAGGCTCACGGATGTCCAGTGCAGGGCCTTGGCCCAGAGTAGCTTTGTGACTTTGGGCAAGTCACTATCCCTTCTGTAAAATGCTCCACCTACTTTTCAGAGGGGGTAATGAGGACCTGGATGTGAAGGTGGTTTATGAACTCTGTAAAGCTGACCACATAGGACATATTCTATCCATTACTGTTATTGTATGTTGGAAACAGGCTGACAAGACTTCTTCTTTGAGGATCAAATGAATATCTCCTGATCCCACAGTCTCACTTGTTCAGGAGATGGCAAAGGAATGGACATGGGCGATGGTCCAGCCTTGCTATCCTTTAGCTTCTCTGCACTTAGGGCAGCCTCTGCAGGTTGGCACCCCCTGCCCTTGGTAGCCCTTGGCTGACCTTGCTATGGTGGGCACTGTCCTATGCCTAGAACTGTCCTCTGCCACCTCTCTACAAAAGCTATCTGTACATACTACTATATGTAAAATAGACAAACAACAAGGACCTACTGTATAGCATAGGGAACTATATTCAATATCTTGTAATAACCTATAATGGAAAAGAATCTGAAAAAGAATATATATATATATATATCCGAATTATACTATATTCATCTTGTAATAACCTATAATGGAAAAGAATCTGAAAAAGAATATATATATATATATCCGAATTATTTTGCTGTACACCTGAAATTAACACAACATTGTAACTATACTTCAGTTAAAAAAAATTATGTGTTCACAAGGAATCAGGGTTCAAAGACTCCCCCCTTCCCTGCCAACTCTGGATTTTTATAGGCATCTTTTTAAAATTTTTTTATAGGCATCTTGAATGTCTTAACTCAGGGGAAGTAAAGGTAAAATTACTTCAGGCACTGTGAGAGGGAAATTATATCTGGACAGAGGAGGTATCCCTCAAATGACCCTCCATATCCAGCATAAGCACATTTGTATGTAAGGCTGGAGCCTTCCCATTCCCCGGCCCTGTGGGACAGCCAGACCTGCCAATAGCAAAGGGATGGAAAAGCACACTGGGCTGAGTGTTAGCAAGCCCTGGCTTCTAGTCTCACCTGTGCCAAGAGCTCACTGTGTGTGCTTGGGGAAGTTCATCCCCACTCTGGGCTGCCCTTCTCCTGTCTGGACTATCATGGCATGGGGTTAACTAGCTGGTATCTCAGGCCTCACTCTATGACTTTCTAGGGACACTTACAGCTCTCCAGCTGCATCGTGCAGGTCTGGATATCCATGGGGAAGTTCTTCAGGTCCATTGGGCAGGATAAAATGAGAGTCAGCCTGGCAGGGACAGTAAGAAAGAAGTTAGGCCGGCTTACTGTGCCTCAGCACAGCACAGGGAACCCTCCGCCCACCCCACAGCCTCTACCCCTTTTGCTCCGAGCTCTCCTGGCTGTACGCCAGCTGCACCTGATGCTGTAGAGCACATTTCCATTCTTGAAGATGCGCAGCAACTTGTTGTCTTTGGTCACCTCGTGAAAATTGGCCCCTTTCTCATTGGCAAAGAACAGGTCTGGCTTCCAAATAGAGTCCAGCATGGAGGGATCGAGGTCCAGCGAGTCATCAGGATATTCTCCGTAGGCCAGGCGTGGGTCGCTCCACTGCTGCCGCAAGAAGATGTTCACCCTGTAGTCCTGAACAGAGATGGGCCCATCAGAGGCAGTGCTATTGCAGGGGCCTAGCAAGCCTACCTGGGCAGGAGGGCCATGAGGAGGAAATGCTGGGAGCACATCTCAGGGGCAGTGGGCATTTTCGACTGTAGAAGGAGCCTGCTTTGGGCTGATATGGCAAAGAAGGGAAGGGAAAAGACATTTATTAAACACTTGCTATGTGCCAGGCTCTCTGCTAAGTGCTTTCTTCATACGCATCATCTCATTTAAATCTCATGTCAACCCTGAGAGGAGGGTGCTGTTAAGATCCCCATTTTACAGATGAGGAAACTGAGACAAAGAGAGATTTGAGTAACCTGCCTAAGAGATGGTAGAGTCAGGGTTTGAATGCAGGTTTATCTGATTTCCAAGCATTGATGCTATGCATCAAGCTACCTGCCAAACTGGACCATCTGCTGCTTAGGCTAGTCTGCCTTTAGCCACTAAAACCCTGGGCTGGGGAAAGATAAACTCCCAGTGACCGACTTTGGACATCCCATGGCTTTAACTATGACCCTGAAACAGGGAGAGGATGGCAGAGGGAGGAAAGTCTTGCTATCTGCTGGGCTTCACCCATTCACACTAGAATGGAAGCTAGAGCAGGGCAATGCTTTACCATGGTAGTCTCGGTGATGGAGCTGAAACTGTTGATGAAGATGTTGCAGGTCACGTTCACAGGTGGGCCTAAGGGTAGCAAAGCACAGCCATATTGGCAGGGCATTCCAGGAATCTGGGAGAAATTTCCAAGACTCCCTCCCTGAGCTTGAGGTTAAGGCACTGCTGGGAGAAGGCAGTGCCTGGCACACAGGCCCATGGGTGATGGGGAGGGGACACTCCTTCTGAGCTGTGAGAGCCAGCCCTGTACCTCCAGCCTCCTGGCCCTGAGGTAGGCAATGGAGGCTAGCTCGGCAGTATGTCCCCAAAAGAAGTGGGGAGGGAAAGGTATTTTGTAGGATGAATGATTCTTACCTTTAAAATTGGGCCTAATCCTGGCATCATATCCAGATGTTCGCCCCATAAGCTTGTCCAGAAAATCAGAGGGGGACATGGGCTGGGACACCTTGGTCCCAGATTTGACTTCTTCTTTTGCCAAGGCCACCCTGGACAGGAGAGATAAAGAATTAATAACTGAGATCTGTTGCATTCTGCCTTTATCACAGACCCTCTCCTTCCTTGTTCCCTCCCCACTTTGGCTGATCTCTCCATCAGGCAGGAGGATTAGGAGATGGTTTCTAGGTGCCCACTTGCAAAATGAGAAGTACAGAAACCCATAAGCCAACACAGCAGCTCAATATTTAGTCCTAGAAGATTGCTTTCACATATATTAGATCTTTTTGTCCTCAAAATTCTCAGCGTGATGGGGGTGAAAACTGTTATTTCCATCTTATAGGTGAGAAAACTGAGGCTTCCAAAGGAGTAATCTGTGAGACTGTAAATTGGTGCAGCCACTGTGGAAAACAATATGGAGTTCCCTCAAAATATTAAAAGTTGAACTATCTTATGATCCAGCAATTCTACTTCTGGGTATTTATCCAAAGGAAACGAGATCACTATGTTGAACAAATATCTGCACCCCCCACCATGTTCATAGCAGCATTATTTGCAATGGCCAAGACACGGAAATTACCCAAGTGTCCAACAACGGATAAATAGATAAAGAAGATGTGGTGTATATATACAATGGAATACTACTCAGCTATAGAAAAGAATGAAATAATGCCATTTGCAGCAACATGGATGGACTTGGAGGGTATTATGCTAAATGAAATGTCAGACAGAGAAAGACAAATGCCATATGATCTCATATGTGGAACCTAATAAATGGATAGATAGATAGATAGATAGATAGATCGACTGTCCAAAAGAAAAGTGACTTGCCCAAAGTCTCACAGCTGGTGAGTGACACAGGGCCCAGGATCAGGACTTGAACCCAAGGCTGAGGCCTCATCCAGTATTCTCTTTCTGAAGGTGCCTTGGACATGCTCAAACAAGAGTGACACAAATAATGTGGCTGTGGCAACGCTTTGTACATCTGGCCTAGCCAAGGATGGGAAGGGCTCAAGGGCAATTTACACCCCTGAGAGATAGTTTTAGTTGCTTGGCCTTCATGCTGATTCCTCAGGGGCTAGGACCCAGCTTCTGGAGAGGGCATCTTGGCTTCTGGTGTCTGCTCCAGCAGGAAGCTATATTCTGAGCTGAACCTCAGTTCAGGGTTGTGGCAGCTGCAGGCAGGTCATCTCACCTTGGCAATAAAAGAGGCAGGAAAGCAGGGCTCTAGAAGCATGGGAAAGCCTCCCAGTAAAGTGGCCATGCTGTGAAGGTCAACTCCCATCTTTTCTTCCTAAGAGCTCCATTTTGAGGAGGGGGCCAGTGTGTTTTGGCCTAGCCTAGAGGCCAGCCCCCTTCACCCCTGACAAGTTTCCCTCTAAGAGCAGCAAAGTTCCTTCCATATGCCTGCTTGTCTGCTTAGCAGCCAATAGCTAGACCAGGGACCAGGAGCTCAGCAGGGGCTTGAGGGCAGGGGTGGGGCTCACACTGAGCTCAGGCTGGACTCCTGGCTGGGTCCTGTGCCTTCTGCTCCATCCTGCCATCATCACCAGAGCCAGCTCCCCTGCTGCCACTACTGCTGCTGCACTGCTGGGGCTGGGAGGTGGGGTGACTGCTGTCCTTCTGGGTCTGAGTCTCCTTTGAACCAGAGAGCTCCTCTTTCCCAGTAAATCTATGTACCTTCCAGTGACTGATAGAATAATACAAATAGCTGAGGCACCATTCTAAACACTTTATCTAGTATAGTTCTCACATCAATCCTTTCAATAATCACTCTTATTATCCTCCAGCTATAGTTGAGGAGTGCAAGATGGAGTGACTTGTTCATGATCATACAGTTCCTAAATGGTAAAGCAGAGATTCCAACCCAGAGCTATTGACTTCAAAACTAAGTCCATCTACCGCAATACCATGATGCAAGCAGCCCAGGGCGGGCTGCCAAGGAACCAGAGTGGGGGAAGGTCAGTGACAGCCGCTGCACCCTGACCCTTAGAGTCTTACTTCCTTGAATCCCATGAGCAGGAGGGAGCTCTTAACCTGGGAACAGAGGCCACCTTGGCCGCGAGTGGGGGTGGCCAGAGCAGGTGGCCTAAGCAGGCTCTGAAAACCCAAGGAGGCGGGTGGTGGTGCTGGTGCAAGCAGAAGTGCGTGGCTTCACCATGGGGCATCCACACTGGTCAGGTGCTGCTGCTGGCTGCTTGTCACCTGCTTGCCGGGAGGCCATGTGGCCCTGCAGGTGGAGCAGCCAGACCCTTGCCACTGTCCTCAACCTCACTCTCATGTCACCTCTCCCGCTAGCTCCAGCCCCAGGACCCTGGGACTGGCTGTGGGCTCAGCTGTCTTGGGCCCCCCACAAGACAGCTGAGCCCACAGCCAGTCCCAGGGTCCTGGGGCTGGAGCTAGCGGGAGAGGTGACAGCTCCGCTTTTCCAGGGTTACTTTGTCTGCAGACCTGAAAGCAGAGTAAAAATTGTTTTTATAATATTTTGACAAAAGTATTTAAAATAATTCTTTTCCTTTGAAATCCTGTGTACTGTATTTTATGATTTAAAATATTATCCTGAGAACACAGCCAGTCCCAGGGTCCTGGGGCTGGAGCTAGCGGGAGAGGTGACAGCTCCGCTTTTCCAGGGTTACTTTGTCTGCAGACCTGAAAGCAGAGTCACAGTGTGTGGCCTCTCCTTGCTCCCTTTCATTCCTGGAAAGTTCCAAACACGGGCAGGACTATGGAGGTTCCAGAGCTGAAAATCTTTCTCATGGAAGGCCTTGGGGTGGGGTAAGGGGAGAACGCTGATTCTGCTGCTGGGTACTTAAGTGACCTTGGCCAGGTCACTTGCCCTCTCTAGGCCTCAGTTTCCATAAATACAATGAAGGATTTGGTCTCAAGATTTCCTAAGGGCCTGCCTTGCTCCAATCACTCAAGTGGGAATGCTGCCACCAAAGCTTGGGCCTTGAGGCAACTTCCCCTCCAGCAGGGCCAGCAAGCGTCAGCTGGGTGCCCCCTTCTGCCTGCATCCTCCTATCAACTCCAGCTGAGCTGCCATTGCACTTAGGGCTGCTTTTCACTCTGAAGAAGTTTATCACTGCCCCCCCTCAACTGCATCCCTGCCTGATTGCCCCCTAATGTGTCTGCCAGCAGTGCGGCAGGAGGCTCCTCAGAAGCAAGCAGATCTTGGCGTGCTCTTTGAATGAAGAGGGGGAGGACAATACTGTGGTGGCACTCACCTGCCTCCACCTTGGGAGGCATTCTTCTGACCAGTTCAGCCCAAGGCACAGCCATTTTTCCTCCTCAGCTCACCCTATCCACCTAGAATGGCTCCTGGTCTAATGAGAAAGTGAGAAGGGGTAGGAGGCCATTTACAAGGAGCCCAAAGCATGTCTTGCCCCCAAGCCCAGGAAATGATGGCCACTTAGTGCCCCTCCAGGGACAGTGAGCAGACAGGTTCCCCCTGGGCAGGGTAGGGTGACTGCAGAGGGCCAATGTTTGGTCAGCCAACATCATTCTGATGTGCTTTTGGGAAAATCCTTGCTCCTTGAAATCTCTTGGGTGAACAGCTGGCAGATGTTGGTGTCATTTTTAAGGATCTGAGGAACGTGTGGCCAAGCTGGTAGGGAGATAGGGTTGCATGGCAGGACAGATGGCTTCTGTTCTGGGCTCACTCCCTAGCCCCTACCCTGGCCCAGGAAAGTCTCACCCATGCAGAAGCCTTCCCACCTGCTCTGGAGCTTTGACATCCTTTATGAAAGTCTCCTGGGATCTGACTGGGGGAGGGTGTGTCCTCCCCTGGAGCCTTCCAGACTGTGGGCTTTTTGTAAACTTCAAGGAAACTGTGCCAGAGCCCCTGCTACCCCCAGCCGGTATTTGCATGCATCTCCTTCTTACCCCCACTCAGCTCACCTGAGGAGGACCTGCCCCGGCAGGGTCCAGAGGAGAAGGAAGGAGAGGGTTGCTGGAACAAGAGTTGTCATTCTGCGGGGACCCTGGAGTCCTTTCTCAGCCTGGCTGCCGAGGTGAGAGGGAGTATCCGGGCGGGAGCGCCGAAAGTACAGAGCCTTCTTCCTACTTGGGCCACTTGCATGGAACCCAAGGAGGGCCGGGCTAGGAGTTGCACGCTCTCTCCTCTTCTCTCTTCTCTGCCCTGTCCTTACCAGTCAGGGGCCAGAACTATTCCCGTGGAAGTGACTCTGACACAGATAACCTGCTCCTGCTCTGGCTCACCTGGGGCTCTGGAGGGCCTCAGCCTGCCTGCTAGGGTGCTGAAGGAGATTCTTTTTGGGCAGCAATCACTCTCTAAACCCTGGAGAGTCTTGGAGGGGAGGGAAGAGGGAGACTGTAGGAAGATGTTTCCCTCCCTCCCACCTCCCCCTGAGCTGCACTCTCTGAAAGCAGCAATTTAAAGGCACAGACGCCAGCAGCTGGAGTGGGGTTCCAAGCGAGCCTGTGTGCTGTGTGCTGGGGAGGAGCTTGGACTGCCGCTGCAGCCTGGAGAGGGCCGGAGGTGCTCTGCCTAGCTTCTAGCTGTCCAGCTGGAGGAGTGCATGCAGGCTGCCCTGATTCCCCAACCTCCCCAGCAGTTCCCCTTTTAGCCTGGAGCCAAGCTGTTGACGAACTCTAAAGGCTTAATGATTTTTGTAAGGGGGACAAAGACCTGAGAGGGTTTAGGGGAGCCAGTGGGTTTCCTCCAGCTGACAGCTTCAGGGCTGAGAGGAGGTGAGGAGGAGGCCGAGGGCAGGGGTGGCTTTTCCTCAACCCTCTGGGTGGAGACACAAGGAATGGATAAGGCAGAGGAACTTCGGAGTTCTCCTATGTCTGCCTACCTATCAGTCTGTCCATCTGTCTGTCTGCATGACCCATCTTCATCCTTGTAGTTGTGCATCCTCTTTCCTGCCTGCTTACCTCCCTTAGCTCATCTCTGCTGAGCTTGGGGGGGCTCTCTTTAGCTCTCTGAAACCCCCTTTCCCCAGCCTGGCTAGGCGGTGAGGAGGAATAGGTGTCCCTGGCAGGGGCAGGGCAGGCCTGGCGCACAGCAGGCTTTGCAAGCTTCAGAGAAGTCAAGGGGACCAAGAGCAATGACCCGGCAGCCCCGAAGCCCAGGATGGAGTAGAGAGGCAGGGAGGGTGGGCCGCTCCCCATCCCCTTGCTTCTGCCCATTTGCTTACAGCATCCAGGTGCTTGAGCAGCTCTTTTCTTGACGACCCTTCCCCAAACTTGTTCAAGCACCACCTGAACCG